CAAACTTAGAAATAAGTTCACGCATAGCAGTGGCAGAAGAAATGGATGCCTCACAGAAAATAAGCACGTCATCAACATAAAAAAGATGAGAGACCCCATAGTCACACCCTGAAGAAAACGCCCTGGGAACCATGCCTTGGAACATGGCACAATCAAGCTGCCTACTAAAGAAATCCATTGCCTACAAAAATAGATAAGGAGATAGAGGATCCCCTTGCCTCAAACTTCTCTTCCCTTTGAAATATCCGTTGGGTGAGCCATTCCTCAAAACAGAGAAGGAAGAAGTGGAAATACACAAGCGAACCCATGAAACAAATAACTCAGGAAAACCCAAATTATGCATCCTACCCACAAGAAAATCCCAAGAAACCCTGTCATAGGCGCTGCTCAAATCGATTTGCAGACACATTTTAGGCCGAGTTGCATTCCTTTGGCAAAAAGACATAAGTTCATGTGCCATAAGAATATTATCTGTAATAAGCCTACCTTTCAAAAATGCAGCCTGCCTAGGGTCGATAAAATCATCAAGAACAACTCATAGCTGATTATAAATTATTTTGCTGATGATTTTGTACAAAACATTACACAACGCTATAGGTTGAAAGTCTTTCATCACCTTAGGTGCATCCACTTTAGGAATCAAACATATAAAAGTGGAATTGAGTTACTTGAGAAGCTTACCTTTAGTGAAGAAATCTTTAAAGGTCAGAAAATGATCCTTTTTAATGACTTCCCATCCCACTTGTAGAATTCCATTGAAAACGCATCAGGACCTGGGGCACTTTCATTTTTCATATCCCAAATGCATTCTTTGATCTCCTCCATATTTACTACGTCCACTAATTTGTCCCTCTGAGAAGAATTGAGATGAAATGGCAACAAGAACTGATCAACCATGTGCAGGTCAATATTGCTCTCCTGAGCCAATAGGTCTTTGAAATAGCCAATCATATGATTTTCAATGTCAACCTCAGTAGACAAAAAATTCCCATGCTGATCTTTCAAAGAGATAATTCTATCATTCCTCCTTCTCACCACAACCGATAGATGAAAATATTTGGTACTGGAGTCCCCCTCTTTGAACCAATTTTGATGTGATTTTTGCCTCCAGAATCTTTCTTCATGGCCCAGACGAGTTTGTAATTTCTGAGTACATTCTTTTTCCTCAGATATTAATATCTCATTGTTAGGATCCGTGTGTACGCTATCATGCAAAGATGATAGTTGATGTCGAACTATTGCAATGGATTCCCCAACATAGCCAAACACATCCTTGTTCCATAACCTAAGGTCAGCCCTAACCGTCTTAAGTTTAGCAACAAAGCGATACATGGGTGTCCCCGCCACTATAACATCTAAAAAACCGTGATGCTGGTTCCACATATAGAACCCCACTGGACCCAAATCAGAAATAGAGACGAGTAAGGGACAATGATCTGAGGTGCCTTTAGGGAGTAACTGGATATTGGATTCAGGGAAGGCCAAAACCCAATCAGTAGTTGCTAATGCCGGTCCAACCTTCTTCTAATGCATCTTCTGCTCAATTGGTTATTAGACCAAGAGAACCACCCTCTGACTACACCAAGATCTGCCTTTAGAAATCCATAGTTGAAATTCAAAAAATTGGCATCTTTGACAAAAAATAATGTTTTGCGAATCGAAGTTTATTTTCACTTTTACATGCCTTGGGGATCGAAAGTGGCATATCAGCCCTACACCATAAAATTCCTCAGCTTATTGCTAGAACCAAAAAGTGTACTTTTGTTTTGGCTGCATGTTTTAAGTTGGATTTCTTGGATATGGCTATTGTTTAAGATGATCTAAGAATGGTAAGGACCTTAAACTTTCCCTTAACCCGTCCCAAGCCCGGGTAAAGGGGGTGGGTTGTGTTAGATACGCAGCCAACATAAAACTTTACCAAAACTTTTCATAAATCCGGAATATGAGCCAACCCCAATTAGTTGGGAAAAGGTTCTGACGATGATGATGATTGCTATTGTTTAAGAGCTCGCTTATCACTCTGTTTATTTGGCCCTATGTGTCATTCTTATCACTTTTGACTAATGTGCTGCTGATCCTTACTTTACCCTTCTATATCAGTCTTCCAAGATGCACCTAGGCATATTCAAAATCCCAACCTAAATGTGGGTTATATGAGCATAAAAGGCCCAACCTAAAGAGCCATATGGAAAACTTAAGCACAAGTAATGTAGCAGATAGATGGAATATAGAATGAGTCACTCAAGAATACGGAATATGGAAGGATAACCATGATTATGTGAGGAAGCTAATGCATAAGAACCTGATTTTTTTCACTATAAGTTACACTAGTCGTATGGTGTGTACGCACTGCAGATTCAATTATGCAGGACAAGGAATGCACTACCATTTGTATCACCCTGAAAATGCCTTTTTTTTTTGGGTAAGTACCTTGAAAATGCATTACCACCAACTAGTGGTAGTACTAAGTATTATACTCCAGACATTACAATATTTTGCTAGGATGTAGAATTTTGGGTCCTTTCCTAATTTTTTTAGTCAATTGTGTGTTTTTCCCATGTTAATGTTACAACAAATTTGTAAAAGTAAAAAAAAAAGCAACAACTTAGGCTGCTTTGATGGGTACCATGCTCAACCTTTGTAAAGCCACTTACCATTCTGGATAAGGGTATTTGCCTAGCAACGTATTGTTTTTTATATATCAAGCCCACTCAAATATGTTTTTTTTTTTTGAGAAAAAGGTTAACTAAGCCCTCTTAAGTATGTTTATAACATATAGGGAAAATTATGGTCCCCCCCTCCCCCCCTCCCACCAGTTTGTACTTTCTAGGCATCGTCCTCCCCCCCAAACTTTTGATAGCACACTATTAACTATAATACTGTTTTTTGTTGGCAAGCCTTTCCCCAAAGTACAAAAGTTGACTTTTTCGGAACCAAGATACCCTCTTTTTTTTGTCCATGTTTCCCTTATTTCTCTCTAAGCCGGTCCAGCACAACTTTAATATAGAAACAGTCTGACGCATTCTTTGTGTCAGATCGGCTCTAATGTGCTGGGCCGACACTCTTTTTGTGCCAGTCCGACACTTTTTTTGTGCTGGACCGACATCTTTTTGTGCCGGTCCGATTCATTTTTGTGTCACCGGTGTGGCACAAATTGTGCCAGACTAGGTTAGAGAAACTTGTATTTGTGAGAATGGGTGACAGAAACATGACGAAAATGTGTACTTGAAGGGTTATTTTCGTCCTTAGAAACTTTTTTGACTTGGGGGGTTGGTAGCAAAAAAAAGTATTTATGGGGTTAAGGGTGTGGTTTAGAAAGTATTAGGGGGGGAGGATGTCTAGAAAATAGAGTCAAGGGGGTTTCCATAATCTTCGCTGACAAATAATTTAAGTTTTGTTAATAAAGATATTTAAGTTACGGTCATGCTTCTTGTATCCATACTCAGACCCCACCCAGACTTTATCGACATTGGATCCGGATGACCCACAACTTTGCGAGTAAACCAGGTAGGTCAAACAATAGAACAACCATTTTCTAATTGGATCTTGTATTGCAAAATGCAGAATATAATTTTAAAAAAGGTGTTATGAAGGGAACAAGAAAATTAAAATATAAAGAAGAGTTTTCATACATATAAACTCGCAATGGGCTTTGTGTGCATAGTCACATAGTTTAAAGAGTGAAATTATTAGATAACCTTTAATTTAGGATTTCAATTTTTAGGATGTTGTGAAACCTAGAAAGTAGGGGTAGTTCTGAATTGGGATAGTTTAGGGTCATTTTGATTAGGGTTATTTTGGGACTAATGTTTAGTTGGGGTAGTTTAGGAATAAAATATGTTATAAGCAGGGGCATTTTTTGAATTAATACTTTGGCCCTTGATAGAGCAGAGTGGTAGAACAAGAATCGTGTATCCGACCTCAAATATTTAGGATAAGGCTCAGATGATGATGATGATGACGACTTTTGCATTGTGTAAATGACTGAAGTTCTTACAAAAAATGGTATTTTGGAATAAAACAGAGGTACTTTTGAAATTAATATATTTGAAAGGGTAGTTTAGGAATAAAATCTTACACGCTCACAAGCACTCCCATCCAAATCCTTTTCATTAATAGAGCATAGATTTTGTAATCCAAAGACTGTAACCTTTGATTTAATTTTTTTAAGGAGAGGATGCATGTAGACGAAAATGAAAACATAAGGAATATGAGAGAATATAAATACAGTGAGTTGAATTGGTCTTCTTCAAATGGAGAGAGACAAGCCGAGGTAAATGTTAGCGAGAGTTGATGAGAGAGAGAGGCAGCAATTCACAATACATATTTAGCTTAGGAATTCTTTTAGGTGAAACATGAAGGGAAAGGTGTAGTTGTTAATTATTATTTTTCATTGAAATTAATACACGTTGAGTTGGGATTAGTTATACAAGAAGTTTATAAAGAAACCTAGACCTTTATTAACGAAAGGTTGGTCCTTCTAAAATTGTGCTAGGGTTTTGAAGTACCAATCTTTCTAAACTTGCTAGGGTTATTCTATGGTTAAAAAATGAGGCAAAACAGATTTGGGTTTCACCGAAACTTGACCCTGTTTTGGACATGGTGGGGTTTGTGAACTGCGATTATAGTCATGCTGTCATACCTATAAATTCATTCCATGCAATCCTTCAAGCTTGCTTTGATTGTTTATTGTACAGCTTTTTTTCATGCATGAAATGCCTTTTTCCATTTCTGAGAATATTGGATTTCCTTCCATTTAAGGGCGACGTGCCTTAAAAAAGTTAAATTAGTTTATTTGTTTCAAGAAAAGAAAAATCAGATCTTGAACTTTCGTTTTATTTTGTTTTGTTTTATCGGCTTGAAAGAGTCAGCATGAAAAATGTTCTCTAGTGATCTCGATATGAAATCTGTGTACAGTCTTACATGGTGTATTATGATTTATTTAGTTTGTGATTAAATGCAACTGGGTTTTTGTTTAACCTCAGTTTTTTCATTTGCAGCATATTGGCCATCTAGAGTTTCCCTTTTATTTTGTTGGGTCATGTATTAAGACTGATTGCTTCGTGATTGGGCGAATGGACTGGAGAGTTTCACAAGCTATTAGTTAAATAAAATGTCAGGTGAGCAGAAGGGTGCAAATTATTTTGGGAGATTCAAATGGCGACGGCATGGCGAATCGTCCATGACCGAAAGATTGCTTCATGATGTGCCTCCTGAGATAGAGTTGTCTGACTATCAGAGGCTATCAGATGCTGACAGTGAGAGCCCTTCTGGTCTTTTAAATGGCGAAAGCTTGAAGGCAGAGCCCATTGCTGATCTTGATCTTTTCTTTGAAAGGTTATACAATTATTATTGCGAAAAAGGACTCTGGTGCATAATCACAAAGTGGATAGTGGAACTCCTGAGTGTGGGTTTTACTATTTTTTTCTCTGGTTTCTTCTTGTTATATGTCGATTGGCATAGTTTGAGCAAGGTCAAGTGTGGCATTGAGGCAGTGCAATCAGGAAAGCAGCAATGTGATCTCTTCAATGAAGCTCTCTTTAAGCACCCACTAGTTCCATTTACATTTTCAAGAGCAATTATTGTAGGGTATCTGGGGATATCTTCTATATATTGGGTCTTCTGCTTTCTGAGATTCTTTGCACAGCTAAGGAACACACTCGAAATTCGTGACTTCTATTACAAAAGGTAAGAAATCAGATATGGAAAGATTATAGCTTTCCCATGAAGAAATTTTGATGCTTTTGAATTGAAATTTAAAATGGAAAAATCAAGTTTGCTCATGTATAAAGATCTAATTACTCTTTTTGTTTTTCCCAGTCTTAAAGTTACTGACAATGAGATTCAAACGACACCCTGGGCTGTGATTTTGGATAAAGTTGTTGAACTCCAAAGCTCACAACAACTGTGTGTGGTGAAAGATCTCTCAGCACATGATATGGTCATGAGGATTATGCGCAAGGAGAATTACTTGATTGGGATGCTTAACAAGGGCGTGCTTGCTTTGCCAATCCCTAGCTGGATCCCTGGTGCTGGTCCTCTTGTAAAATCTCAAGGAAATGGAGGTGATAATTATATGATACTGACAGAGATCTTTGAGTGGAGCTTAAACTGTTGCATCCTTCAGAGCATGTTTGATAGGTATTCATTCATATCTATGTAAAATATGCTTGGCTCCCTGAATTGTAAATGTTAATTGGCATGATACTCTCTTTAAATATCGGATGGAACACCATGAAAAAAAATTGACTTAGTTCCTTATTGACACATTTTGGCATTTATGGATGGTATATTATGAATATTCGTTGAGGCATCGCCTGTAAAGATATCTGATCTCCTCTTGACGCAAAATGTCATTGTTATATGTTATACTATGGTTTAAAAGTCAATGAGGGGACTTGGATCTCGTTTTTCCTGAAGAACCGAAATAGATAACAGTGATTTGAAAGAAAAATTACATTTATGTAGATAAACCCAATATGAATATACTTGCTAACTTTTCATTACTTGGTATATTACGTAATCCATATGCAGATAACAATCCAATTACATATACAATTGTAATACAGTATGTTACAGGCACAAGTAAGATCGGCGACTGCCAAAATACATCTATTTCTAGGTATATGTTTTATATTGAATGGAAGGGGAATTTTATGGTTGTGTAGGCCTTTCTTCTAATCACCATTGCACTGAAGCTTCTCTTGGAATTAGGGATTCATCATGCCCCAACTGATTCAATATTTGGCACAGCTTGTGTAGAAGTGTCGAATAGTTAGGTCCCTTTTAGGAGTTCATTCTCAAATCCTTTTTGAGTTGATATACTCCTTGAGTGTGACATTGCGTGCATCCTTTCTTTCAGTAATCTCTAATATCTTTTTGAGTATCAAATTAGCCAAAAGAGATGAACAATTTACCCATATCTTTTGATTCAATTTCAAAATACCCATGAAAATTCACATGTTCTTGAGTTGGAATAGTTGCAAATGGGCAAGATGTTAAAGAATTCTTGTCCTATGGGTATTTTGATTATTTTTCCCTTTTGAGTATTATAACAAGTGATTCAAAAAAATGGTGGCATCAACACCATTGACAAACACATTTGATCTTCCTGTTGTTCATTAACAGTTCATATGTTTTTTTTTTTTTGGGGCGGGAAATGGGGAACTGTATGAATTTGTTCTAAAACAACGTGCTTCTATATGTCTGATTTTCTTAAGTTATTGCATGATTTTGAGTGGAGGAACAATGCTTTTTTTTAAGTATTATTGAGCTGAAAGGAAACCTCCATGGATGCGAAGCTTGATCCTCTCCAATCCTAACCGTAAATGATATTTCAATTTGTAATACAAAATAGAGAAGAAAATATAGAGGCCCAAAACTCTTTTTTCCTTCACCTGATAATATTACTTGCATAGAAATCCTGGTTTTTGCAAATCTGAAGAACTGAGGGTTTGTTCCATCATTGTGTTAAGGTTGTGGTTTCTATAAGGTTGCAACCTTAAACAATCCAATTAAGGTGCACCTCCAAATTTTAATATAACATGTAATTTTGTTGAAAACATTTTTAGGATTATCTCCAAATCTATTTTTGTATCTAATTATAAAATTTTAAACTCCAAAAATGGTTAAAATCAAGCAGATCTATAACATATGAAAATCGTGAAAATGGACGGTCTAGATAATGTATTGCAAGATGCGCTACTTTTGGGACTCCAAAATCTTTTTTTTCTTTCATATTCATACATCTCGATGTTGAGATGATCAATTAGAGGTTTTTTCAACATTAAAACAACCTTTTTCGATGGATTTTTGAGGTGCATTTGTAATTATACATTTTAAGGTTGCATCCTTATATAAACTTTTTCCTTGTGTAAAAGTTTGGCACATAATTTCCTTAAGCAATCCAAAAAATATAGAAAGCATTGCATATAAATTGGCTGAGCTCCACTTTATGCAGACTCCAGGGTCAAGTAAAAGGCCAGAGCATTTCAAAGATGTAGAGTGCTCATTCGTCTTAGTGAAGAATGAATGAATGGTGGAGAGTTTATTTTAAAAAAATGTTCAATGAAGAACACAATATGAACACAGTGCTAGGAGGAGCCTTTATCATAAACAAGGGAGGAGGTCATAGGTACATGCATAGGATTAGGATATATGAAGTGAAAGAAGCTTTGAGGATAAAGATAGGAAAGGGTTTAGGACCAGATGGTATCCCAATAGAGATCTGGAAGTGTATGGGGTAGATTGACATATGTTGGTTGACTAAGTTGTTTAACAAAGTGTTGAGAACAAAAAAAAAAATGCCAGACGAATGGAGAAAAGGTACAATAATACCTATTTAGATAAGCAAAGGAGACATACATAAACATAAACAAAGGAGACATACATAATTGTGTGAACTATCGAGGGATAAAACTTATGAGCCACACTGTGAAGCTGTGGGAGAGATTGATTGAGCAACGACTAAGGTATGAAACGACTGTATTAGAAATCAATTCGCCTTATGCCAGGGAGGTCAACAATTGAGGCTATTCTCCGACTTAGGCAATTGATTGAGAAGCTCAAGGAAAAAAGAAAAGATCTCCTCATGGTCTTTATTGATTTAGATAATGCTTACACTATAATACCTAGAGATTTAATTTGGTGCGTGTTGGAAATGAAAGGAGTCTCCAGATGCGATATTGACATGGTGAGAAATATGTACGAGGGAGCACTAACTAGTGTGCAGACAACTAGTGAAGAGACAAGTGAGTTTTCAGTAATAATAAGCCTACATTAGGGGGTCAATATTGAGCTCATATCTCTTTGTTTTAGTTATGAATGAGCTAACTAGGCACCTACAAGATGAGATACAGTGGTGTATATTATTCACGATGACATAGTTTTGATCGATGAGACTAGAAGCGGTGTCAACCCAAAGTTGGAACTTTGGCGGGAGGCTCTAGAATCTATAGGTTTTAAAATTAGCTGAATACGGTGGAATGCAAGTTTAATAATAATAGGAATGAAAATGAGGAAGTAGTTAAGATTGATGGCCAAGAAATACCTAAAAGAGAGTATTTTCGATACCTTGGGTCGATAATCTAAGTAAATGGAGACATGTGGAAGATGTCGTGCATAGAATTAGAGCTGGGTAAGCGGAGTGGAGATGTGCATGTGGAGCTTTATGTGATCGCTGTATACCAATGAATCTGATGGGGACGTTTTATAGGACAAGTGTGAGACTAACTTTGGTTTGTGGGACGGAATGTTGGGCGATCAAGAAACGACATACCCATAGGATGAGTGTAGTTGAGATGGATGAGTAGCAAGACAAGAGATGATAGAATTCGAAATGAACACATCCAAGGGAACTTAGATGTGGCTTCAATACGCGATAAGATGAGGGAAAGTAGATCTAGGTGGGTGGGCCGTGTGCAATATAGACTCAATACCACACTAGTTAGGATGTGTGATTTGGTTCAAGTGGAAGGCTCTAAAAGGGCAAGGGGAAAGCTCAAAGAGATATGGATGGAAGTTGTGAGAAAAGCTAAAAGGACTCCTGATTTTATCGAGGTTATAGTGAATTTATCGAGGTTATAGTCCTGGATAGAGTAGAATGGCATAATAGGATTTGTGTAGCGGACCCCAAATAGTTGGGGTAAGGCTCTATTGAGATGATAATGAGAATTTCCATTCATTATAGGTAGAGAACCTATGTGAATATCCCTTGCTTTTGTTTCTTTCATACATGGAACCTTAACCCCGGTTACCCCCAACCACCCCCGCCTACCTCCCACCCCTACCCCCAAACCCAAAAAAAAAAAAAAAAAAAAAAAAGAAAAAGAAAAAAGAAAAAAGAAAAAAGAAGAAAAGAAAAACGAAAAAAGAAAAAAGAAAAAAGAAAAAATAAAAAAGAAAAAAGAAAAAGAAAAAAGAAAAGAAAAGAAAAACCACACACTCATGCATGCACCAAAAAAGGGGTAAAGAGACAGCTGCATCTACTCTCTTTGTGGAAAGGCTGGAGATTGGATTGCCATTCTTTTTTTTTTGGGTCCTGTTTTTGCTGGAGGCCTGGATGGCATGAGTATGGTATGACACCAGAGCCTCCTGTTTTTGCTAGAGTACGTTATGACAACAGAAGCTACCTTTAGCTAAGCTGGGATGCATGTTGTGACTCCACTAGCATCCCCTTATTTCTGAGACTTCGTCTTGTAAAGCAGTCATTCCTCTAGTTATCTATAAGATAGCATTACATCACAAAATAGACAGAATTACATCACAAAGGGTAACAACTTTGCCTTAATGGCACTATCGCAAAATTGGACTTCAATGTTTATTTTTAGTTTATTTTTAAATATGCTTGGTTTAGTGTTCACTTTCATTTTTGGCCTGTTTAAATGCTCAGATACCAACTTATAAATGGTGCTTCCGCTTTTCTATTGTTGTGGGATATTTTGTTTCTATACGTGCTGTATAACTGTTTTTTTTGCTTTAGCATTATTTGGTGTTGGCTTTCAATGCGCTGCCATATTATCTCATCCAGCTTGATTTCTATTCAGTGGCTTTGTTCTTACCATAATGTACTATCTTGACATACCCCTCTAAGTGGGCTGTTTGTCATTTGTTTCTGAATTTATTTGACCAAGTCTTTTTCAAATTCAAGCATGCATTGATGGATAGCTCATTTTTGAGGGCTTTGGGAAATGAAGTGTAGGTCACCACCTATTTGTTGATCTATGTTGTAAGTCTTATCCATAAACAAGTGGTATTTTCATTTGGAGGAATTATTCTTGCTCCTCCCTAATTTTCACCATCTGTGCATCTGTTAAGGATTTGGGTCAACCCCAAGTAGAGAAAGAAATCCCTCTAGTCCTTAATTATTCCTAGGGTGATAACCTGTGGCCACCTACAAATTTTCATTGACTTTATGGATTTCAGATGAAACCAAGATTTATTAGCATGTGAGTGCATGTGTACCTCAATTTGACTTTCTAACCTTAAGGAGCTGCTCTTGTTTAGCTTCTTTTAGTTATGTTTTGGCTGTTGTATTGGTGTTCTCTTGAGTTGAGCTCTATATATGTATGGGATCTGCCAGATAAGAAGGGCCAAGATGACCAAGGTTGTAGTTGGCATGCCATAATTGGCTAACCACATATCATTACTAGCTCCATGCACTGTAGGTTCCTTTGAAGGACCTGTTGTCTACTTTCAGATTTTGCTCTTTCTTTGTTTTGTTCTGGATTTAGCTCTCCTTTTGTTTTGTTTTGCATTAGAACTTGTTAGCCAACACGTAACTGATCCAAATATAACAAGTCTGATGTGGTTCTTGTATTATGTTTCATGCACATGTTCTATTTTTCATTTTTTCCTATTTGCTATTTGTAGTTTTAGAAAAGTGACAAGTGGGTCCTTTATGGGGCTTCCATGGCTCCAAGCTATTAGTTTGTGTTGATGGCAGTCTATTTCTTTCTTTGGAAATCCTTTTTGCCCCTATTTAGAGGACAATTTCTTCCACACAAGTTGTCCTGCAGCAGTTGCACTAGTGCTCTTTTCCTCTGAGCACCGTTCTTCCCATGGAACTGTGCTGCTGCTTAGGATCGTTTCTGTGTGCTCTTTTCTCTGAGTCATTGCATGAATCTCATGAATGTCATCACTGTGGGATTCCATCAAGATATAAGGGTTAGTAATTCTGTCTGTCACCGCATGAAAAGATTTTGAGCTATTTTGTACACTATGATATATTATTGGGTTGTATTTTATTTGCACTTTTTTTTTTTGGGTTCTGGGTGCCATGTATACATGATATATACTGATGAATACATAGTTGGAAGGAATTATTCTTATGTTCCTAAATCAATATATGTGCTGACCAAATTTTATTTCTGCAGAAATTTCACTATTCGAAGGGATTTTATTAGCAACCCGGATTCATTAAAGAAGAGACTCATGGTTGTCGGATTAGGGATATTTCTCATATCTCCCTTCCTTATTATTTTTATGCTGGTGAAATTTTTTCTGAGGCATGCTGAAGAGTTTTACAAGCATCCTAGAACGGTATCGACTCGAACATGGTCTAATTTATCAAAATGGATTCTCAGAGAATATAATGAGGTAAAATTTGTTTATTATGTGAAAGCTTCTTTCAACTTTATGTCTGCATATATTGTAATAAAACAGCAGTAAGCCTATGTGGAGACTTTTTTCAACTCTGGTCTCACTCTGTATATAATATGATGTTTATATCATACTTCCATCCATTCATGCATGATAGATGTGAGAATACTGAGAAGGATATCTTAAATCATGGACCACAAGAGAAAATATATCCCAATGTTAGGAAAATTGAATAACATAGATGTGCATGTTCACATAGAGAGGTAATGAGTTACATGCACTCTAGCACACTCATGTATGCTTTTTATTTAACAATGCATGTTATGTTGTTTAATTGTTAAGTGGACGATTGATTTGAAAATAATTGTTGACACGATTGATTTGAAAAACCTTGTTAATTTGACAGGGACTATAGAGAGCACATCTGCTTTTTTCCTTGAAGATTTTAATTATGAGCATGTTTTGAACCAGGTTTAATTTTTTTTTGTTTTTTTATAAGAGCCAGGATTGAAAAAGCTGAACTAGGTATTTGACTTAAACCACCTGAGCCAACTTGACTTGCAACTTGGGCAATCTGACTAAGCTATTTTTATACTTTTTAAGCCTTAAAAGTTCTTAAATTATAAGTAAATTTTTCTCAATTAAAATAATTTTTTGATAAATTGCATAATTTATAATACTAGGAAATGGCACATGCATTGCATGATGCTCCCTTTGGAGATTGGATATTTTCTAAACATTCAATTAACAAAAGGAGATGCTTTTTTATTTTTATTTTCTTTTTAATTAATTTAATATTTTTTTACGTTTTCTATCTAACTTTTCTAACTAATTATTTTTTGGATTAGCTAAATACTAATAATGGAAATTCCTACTTTTGATAGACATAATTAGCGTGTAAAATCACTTTCCAAATTTTCTTTAATTATTTTATCACTCCTATTTCTTCTCCATAATATATTATTTTTTTAAAACCAAGATTTGAATAAAACATAATGGTGTCTTTTAGGGAGAGATGGATACAATTTTCTAGACAACTTTATCATTGGATTTATATAACAAATTAAGAGTTTTAAGCAAAGAGAATTCAAGGTTAGGAGTCTAGAGTGGTGAGATACAAGGAGATTTGGAGGGAAAAATATGAGTGGTGAGAAATTTAAGTGTCACACCATAGATACACACACAGAGAAAGGTAGATAGGTAGATATATATACATCTTGCACGAATATAAGAAGTTCAGTGGCATTTTAATTTGGGAAAGATTTCTATACTTCCCCTACAGCATAGAAGATCTATGCTTCCCCTACCATCTAGCCGTCCAATTTTGATCAAGAGAGCCACTCAATGTTTGATCTTAGATTCGATGTCTCAAAGTGTTTTATTTTTAGTTTTTTTATACAAATTGTATGAATATGAAATTTGGTACTTGTCATCTTCTAATTGGGCGCAACTATAAAAAATATTTAAAATAATTTTTTGATAAAATATAATGACCAAAATACCCATTGAAACTTTCAGGGGTATTTTGGTCATTTTATTTTATGTGAAATTTTTTTTTTTATATTTTTCGCTAGTGCGAGTTTAATAGAGGATTGGACATACAAAATTTGGTGTCAAAATAGTCTATAGAAAAACAATTAAAAATAAAATAGTATAGAGACGTGACATTGTGATTGGGACAATCTTAGCCCTCCATTCAGAATGGACTGTTGGATAAGGGGAAGTATATAAGTTTTATGTTGTAGGGGAAGCATAGAAAGCTTGCCCTTGTTATTTTTTATGTAAAATACATGTTATGGTTGATACATCAATAAATAAGGCAAGGTACTCTTTCTTGAAAAATTCATCAAAATACACCTTTGGTTTCAACTGTATAGCATTTTACACTTTTCAACTGTTCCAACTTATGATCATGTGTCTTTTGATGGGATTTTTGAAATTAAAAAAAAAGAAATGGATAAAAATATTGAATAGTTCATCTCTTCTTCTATTTATGAAGTAAAATGTTGAATAGTTCGTCTCTTGGGTTTATTTTGATAAATTTTCCCTAATATCTATACTACATTATTAAGCCATAGTTAAGGTGTGGACACATGTCGCAAGAATAAAAAGGGACCCTATTTCTAAAGAGAATGTAGGGTAGGTGCCCTAGGAAGACTTTAGGGTAAGGTAATCTACGAGATAAGGATTCTCTTGTTAAAGAAAAATTGAGTACTAGACCCTAAAAAATAAGTTGGTCATAGGTAAGAGTTTCTAATTATGTAATAGAGATAGAAAAGAAAGACATGGATGCCTAGATGTTGGAATTGGGGTTTTGTAGCCTTTAAAGGGTATGAGAGCATGTAAATAAAGAATTATAACGGATCAGTGTTTTAAAATACAGGATGCAGTCTTAATGTGGTCAGTGGGACCATGTGGCAATGCGGCTCGATGTGGTCTGAATGTGGGTGCATCACCACGATGCAGTCAATAAATATAAAAAATTCTAAACAATCTCATAAAATAGGTTAATGCCTGAAAAAAATATGCAGGTGATTTATATAACAGTAGGTATTTAATTTATTTATTAACTCCAACATTATCAGTTGTTCAGAAACTTTGAATCCCCTGTTAGAAGACATTAGAAACTACAAACTAGAAACTTGAAAGTAACTTTATAGAAGACATTGGAAGACATCACATTATAATAATTCATAAACATCTGACAACCATAATCACAATTTCAAACTCGGCCCTTGAAACCCTTGATATGTTGATGTATCTATCCTCAAACTTCTTCAAAACATAGCCCAAGCTAATCCCAATCGACAACCCAACCAACACCGAGAGCAAATCGACAGTTTTTTGTAGTAATTTTTTTCTCTTTGTTTGAGCCAACGTGGCTGTTTTTTGTGTTTGGACGGGGGTTTAATACCCCCAAAAACCCTTTCATCCCTTTTCCAGGGGTAAAATGGCCGAAGTACCATGCTCATGGGCACTATTTTCGTCGTGAACTATGCATTGCATATGCGCTATGCGCCATGCAGCCACATATGCAGTGGGATGCGGTGCATCCCACCAGAGCGCCTATGCGCTCCTATCCAATGTGCTCTAGGGTGCGTAATGCATTAGGCGGCCACATATGCGGCGATGCGGCCGTATTTTAAAACAATGTATCAGATTATGCACTTCAGTGGAGTGCGTTAGTTGGTTGACTGCACTAGGTTAGGCGGTCTATGGCCCTGGTCATGTTCAAAACTCTTACCCCAAGGCATATGACACTACCATTGAGGGTTTCTGGAAGGGCATCCCTTGTTGAGATCAGAGAGGTGCCCAAGGATGATTTGTAGGCCAGAAGGGCTTCATGGTCTTTTATGTGCAGATATAGGCTGTGAAAGCGAGGGCTAAATCCTTAACAAACCTTTCTACATGGCACATACATATGATAATTGCAAACCGTGAAGCAACCTTGAAAAGGGATACATGTACGTGTGTACATGTACATGTTCATAGAGAGAGTACTTCTTGCACTATAGTGATATATGCGTACAAAGGGAGAATCTGTAATCCATATTCAGGGACCGTGATTCTGCTATTAATTGGTCAGATTTGAACGATCCAATCATAAGCTCTTGCATGAGACTATGGGTCATGGATCTCGCTTGGTTGGTTTGAGAAGATAGTCAAGGATCACGGATGCTAATTGGGTGGAGTACCCTAACAATCACTTATCTTGAGCCATTGGTGCTAGTTTACTTCTAGATATTTTGTTTCTAGTGTAGAAAAGTTTATGTGAATTTTAAATTTCTTTTTTAGAATTTCTAAAATTATTTTCAGCTTTTAAACCCTTAGAAGGACATTTTTGATTTTTTGGAACTGCGAAGAGGCAAATTGGAACATGTGGGGTCCACAAGTGTAGGTCGTGGGACCCATGGGGCCCATATGTCACACATGTGGTGGGACACCCCCTTCCTCTCTTGTTTTTACTTTTATTTTAAAAAGTGTTTGGTTTTAGTTGGAGAGCTTGAGGAGTTCTTTTAAAAAAGATTTATATCCTTATTTGGGGGAGAATGAATATTTTGCATTTTGAAAAAGGAAAAAGTTTGTATAAGGGTGAGGCCCATAACAATCAAAGTGAGGCACACCCAAAAAATTCACTAGAAGAGGTTGTTTTGCTGGAAAATCCTCAATCCGATCATCTCAACTTCAAGATGTGTGGACATCAAAAAAAATAGATTTCAAGTCTTGAAAATAATGCATCTTGTAATGTATTATCTAGACCGTCAATTTTCAAGATTTTCAAGTGTTCATAGATCTGCTGAACTCACACTATTTTTGAATATTTAAATTTTTCAATTAGAGATGAAAATATATTTTTAGGCTATCTGATATTGAAACAATCTCAAATCCTTTAACTTTGATTTCCTATAATCTTATGAGAGAGAAGTGAGTTCTACAAGATTATGTTTTGGGAATTCTTTAATAAATTTATATTTTAGGGTATGAATTTTCATATAGTTTATAATGTCATGAGAGAGAAGGGAGTTCTAGAAGATTATGTTCTGGGTATTCTTTTATAGATTTGCATTTTAGGGTATGAATTTTCATATATTTAAAAATATTTATGACTAATTTTTATATTTTTATATGATTTTTAAATTGTTATAAAATTTCACTACGTCAACATTTTTTTTTTTTTGAATTTTTGAATTTTTTGACTCTCGTTTGATTTTTATCGGATGCCCTCCCAAAGAGACTCAACATGTTTTTATCTAATGGATTTTAGCAATAAATTTGTATTATTATTTCTTATGCCTTTGAAATTTACATTCAACTACTTTTTAGGTAGGAGTCACCTTTAGTGTGTATATTTTTCCATTAAAGTTTTTAGAGTATGAGCACTTGTATAATTCTCAAATATAGTCTCAAATATCAATGCTTTATTCTTTACTTTTCACTTTTTCTGGTCTTACTTTTAAGCATGGTCTTAAAAAACAGCGATTTGGATCGGAATTGCCTGTTATGGATTGGGAATTGATGGGACCAGCCTGGTTCCCACTATATATCTGTAACTGGCCGGTTCTGTTAGAGAACCGACGACTCACTCTTGCTTAACCAGAAAACTCCCATTTTTTTATTTTTTTTAATATATTTCTTTATGATTTCTTTTTTTTGAATTGTTTTTATTTAACTCTCTTTCTCATTGGGTTGTCACAATAACCTCGGCTTGCTTGACGCCCTTGACCCTCTTTTATAGTGTATGTCCTCTCTCCCCCCCTCCCCCCCTTGGAAAAAAAAAAAACAACAAAAAAAATAAAACGTCCCCTGATTTTTCGCCTGATGCTTTCAGATGCAAACCACAATTGTGAGTAGTGAAAATCACCATCTCCACCTATATTCTCTTTATCATGACACAAGTTCACTTTGAAACTGATCCACGTGAATTTCTCTCTCACCCTGCCTCATAAAATAATCTCTCTTTCTGTCTTTGGACAAAATGCCGCTTTCTCTCTCTATGTGGCTTAGGTGGCCAAAAGCAAAGCACATGGTCATATGGTGCATTTTCTCCACAAGAAAAAAAGAAATGTTTTGTGTTTCTCTGTCATCAAATTGGGAGCAACACCAACTTCTCTCGCTATTTACCTTGCTCGTGTCTAATGCTTTGATAAATATTTTGGCTTTGTGCCTTTACTTCATGCTGGACTTATTTGTTGGATGTATACCTTCATGTTGTATTTTTTTACTTGTTTGATTTTTATTTATTGACTTTCAATTTTATTTATATTTTCTTGGATGGGGTTCGCTATCTAGAACAATTATTGTTAAATTCAAAATTTCACTTGAATGTATTTCTCATATAGTTTGGATTGATTCAGATGGCATGAGTAATAATTTCAATGTTGAAATGGGTTTTTATTGGCACATGTTTCTTTATCCATTTACATAATTGAGATAGGGAAGATGAATTGTTGACTGTGAAGTGAATGTAATGGACAGAAAATACTCAAATATGAGACAGGTTCTCAGTATTTACGCATTTTTGGTAAAAAATTGGAAAACCATAATGCAATACTGCAATATTTTTGGAAACCCAAAAAAATTAGACTTTTAAATGTTTTTATGCTGGATCCAGCCAAACTGCTGATCTAGATTGCCGTTCTGGATTGCTTTTCCTTGTAGTTGATGCGGGTCACCTATCCATTTTTTTCAAACATTGCCTTTAAATTATATCTTTTACTCTATTTTTGCTTAGTTCATATGGTGTATTTTTGTAGAAAATAGGATACTAGAAGTTTTTTTTAATCTTTTAAGATCTTTTTTTTTCATTTTCAGATTTCATCAAAGAGCACATTTGATTCTTTACTTTTCATTATATTTAGACAATTTTTATCATTTCATAGGTTCTTTGTGTAAATAACATTAACCATGATATTTTAATCTAATTTACTAGGAGATAGAAATAGTGATGGACATTTTAACTTATAAATATCATACAAGTAGATTTGTAACACTGATTTTTTTTTGCTTTTTGGTTTATTGTATGTTTTGTTTTTTTTTCTATCTCCTCTTACATTGTTATGTGCTACGCACGTATAGTAAACTAGTACCATGACACTCAAAAGAGTTGGTAGTTCAAACTTATGCTTACAAATAGAAAGTAGTGACATCGATATGATGCAAATGCTAGGCACTTACTACTCAACATTTCCATACTATATCATAATTTCATGGATTAATTATGTGCAACGAACTTATGAATTACTCATACAGAACCACATTATAAGATTTATAATCACGCAAAATATTTTTTCATCAGTAATTTGTAATATTACAACTTGACAACCACGAATTGAATCCAATAATTAATTCATCCTTTTGATAAAGACTTGTTCAGTATTTGAGTTCTCTACATCCTTTTCGTTTGGTGCAGCGCTATTTATTTCCAATAGGTTATCATTTATTTCCTCTCTTTTTGTTTGGTTGGGGTGGGTTGGGGGGGGGGGGCATAGTTCACTTGTAGGAATTGAACTTGAGATATAATGTTACTAATGTCAACAGCTAACCAGTCAAGCCCATTCCCCATTTTTTATCATTTCTTTCTTCTCTCTGTCTCGCTTGCATATTTTTAATATCTCTCTTTTCCCCTTGATCTCATTTACTCATTCAAGACCATTTTGCTCTCTAATCTCCCTCTCTCGTCATGCAATTTTTTTCATACACTTAAATTTTGCCCCTTAGTCCTTAATCTCTCTTGTAGTTCTTTTTCACTCCGTTCACCCTCCTTTTACCCCTCTCACATTTTCTTCGTTCTTGTTAATTTCTCATATTCCCCATTGCAGGTTTTGCTATTGCTTGCAGTTCTTTCAACTATTTTGAACCCCTTGCATAATCCTTTTATTGTGCCCTTCGCACATTTTCATTCCTCTTGTGAACTTTCTCTTATTCCCCTTCATGCCCTCTCCCTTGTGTTGTGAGCCCTTTTTTCTTGATAAATTGTGTTGTAACCTTTTGCATTTGTAAGTTACTAGAATTCTCGATGCAAGGGTAGTTCTCTCTCTTTCGAACTAGCATGTGCGCGCACACACACACACACTATAGAGACATGCTGACATGCCTCTTGAGATTCAAATTCCTTTGAGTCAGTAAATCTTAAATATGCTATTGAAAACTGTTAAATATTTTGAATTGGTGGACTTGAAATCAAAAGATTACAAGGAATGTGCTTGAGTTTTATTTTTTCTTCTAAGAGTTAACAGATGATTGGTCATGACTCATAAAGGATATACATTATGTAATTGAGGAATGAATGAGGCTTATGTGTTGTGTTTTTTTTTTTTTTCTTTGGACATGATTTCTGTGGCCCTGCGTCTTCCCTGTAAGCCAGGGGCTTAATCCCCATATAAATAAATTAGGTTTTTTCTTTTTCTTATGTATACATTGGTTTGGAGGTTCAATTCTGATTCTCTGAGAAAATATATTTGATAGTATATGGAATCTAAGTGAAGTTCTTTTCCTTACCACTGACTGTTCTCAGAGTTCTCATTTTTCACAAATATGATGGCTTTTGATGCTTTTATTTCCTCATTTATTCATTATATTTTTTTCAGGTTGACCATCTCTTCAAGCACCGCATAAATGCTGGTTTTGAACAATCTGCCGAGTATATCAAACAATTTCCTTCCCCCATTGTCTCATTGATTGCTAAGTTTGTCTCATTTGTGGCTGGTGGATTTGCTGCAGTATTAATCATAGTTGCTCTCTTGGATGAATCACTGCTTGAGGCTCATGTTAGTTTCATTTCCTCAACCATTTGGTGCCCTTGAGCTTTATCATTACATATAGCTTTTCTTAGAGAAAGCCTCTTTCTTATTTGAGGAAGTATACTATAACTATGGAAAACCATAGTCCATTCGGTCATCACTGTCCATTGAAAAATGATTGGTGATGGAGGGAGGGAGGGAGGGACACCCACAGGATAGGGCATGACCTCAGGTGGTCAGTCCCATTCTTTCCTCATCTCTGTTCATTTTAATGGACTATCCTTTTTCCATAGAACACGGGATTTTTGGTGTAATTTTCACCTCTCATTTAAGGCTATATTAATTGATCATGCAGGTATATGGTCGAAACCTGTTCTGGTTCACTGTTTTTTTTGGAAGTGTCACAGCAATCAGTAGATCTCTTGTGGCTGATGAATATCAGGTATTTGATCCCGAAGGAGCAATGTCTCTAGTTTCTCAGCATACTCATTATATGCCAAAGAAATGGCGTGGTAAAGAATACACTGACAAAGTGCGGGGAGAGTTTGAAGCTCTTTACCAGGTAAACGAGCTGCATACTTGAAGGTTTTTTTGTTTTTGTTTTTGAAAACAATTAGCTGTATTTTTTCCAGCCATGTTAACGAGGCAGGACTGAAACCTTGATGTCATGTTGTTGCTCCACCACCCTGACCACATAGGCCAAGGGCCTATTCACGAAAACAAGTATCTGTAGTGGGACGCTATTTAATATTAAAATATATCAATTTACTAGTATCATCAGCGTATTAGGGTGATACCATGAGAATTATATCTTGCAAAAACTGTTATCTACCCTTGGATGCCTTTGGACTTGTTATCTCTTTCTCAAGACTAACTCCATATTTCAAATTTTTTATTGTGAGTTTAAGTAGTTTTTTTGGGGATATTTGCATTGTCATTGACAGATCTTTTATATTTAAACATTTGGATGTGAAAATCCATACTGTATAACTCTGATTTGAATAAACAAAAATTACTCACCAAAGAAACAATGGTTGCCTATCTTCAATAACTCATGGACATTGTGCCATTTGGATAGCAATGACAACAGCCTTGTTCTTCAGAATGAACTGAATGTGGAGAAGTTGTTGTTGGATAGTTATGTTTACATTTATGAAACTCTATTGACAATAGCCTTTTGTATATTTACTGCTTGGTTTAGCTGATGGATATCTTTATCAAATATTTCTCCTAAGTCAACTTTCTTGCATCCAAACTTTATGTTGCAGCATTATGCTCCTTGGCTAAGAGTACAAATAAGAATCTAACTATGTTGCTTATATGTCATTATGTATTCTTTAAAGTTTCATTGTATTGATTGAAACTAAAAAGGCGAATTCCATCATTTATCTTATAACTTTAAATATTAAGAATTGCTTTCTCTGGAGTTGTCCAGAACTCAACATTCCTTTTTCCTTAAAAAAATATTATATACACATTTTGTATGCAACTGAATTCCCCACGTGTATTGTGTGTAATATCTTATTTATGTTTTGCTGACTCTCTCTCTCTCCCCCCTCTCTCTGTGCTTGTGTGTGTGTGTGTGAGTTCATAAATGCCAGGATGGGGCCCTGATGTGGCCAATTGCAAGATCCAAATACCAAGCTAGTCAAATATCTAGAGAGACTTTTTGGTGGTTTGTGAATCACCCTAGGTTGAAAATAAAATTAAAAAGAGGTCAAACGAGCTTAACAGTGGTCAAAATGTAGCTCGCCTAAATTCAACAGAAAACAAGGCCAAAAACCTCTCAAACCAGCTTATATTTGATCAATGAGGATTAGAATCATAGCTTGGCTGTGAAATATCACATTTTTGAGTGGGTTAAAAGCCATTGTTTTTGTGTGGAAATAGTTCATATATATATATATGGAACGATTTCATGTCACCATGTCATTTTAATATAATGAAATCACACTTCTAGAAAACCATGTTTGTGTCATTGTATGACCCCAAATTTTGCACGCACATTCTTCATCCCAATAATCAATCCCCACAAAAATAAAATTCAGTTTGAGCCCTAGATATGGTCAAAATGAGTCTCCTCCAACAACCAATCTAGACAACCCATTTGGTGAATTTCAAGGCCTTTACGAATTAAAAATCAATTTTCTTTTTTAACATTGTTAATCTAATGAGAATAAAGTTATCTGAAAATTTGAAAAGGAAAAAAAAAAAATCCTTCGAAGGTCTAGATCTAAGCATCTCATTAAAACGGACAGCCTGTTATTAATTGGGCTCAAAAAATACTTTCTAGGGTGTGTTTTCAAATTTTACCTTTTTGTGATAGTTCATTACAATGGAAAGAGTATATATTTAAAAATTAGGACCAAAAAAATGGCCGTAACATAGTTTTTGAAGATTTTTATATTGTATTACTATAGAACAATTGTTTGAATTCATTCCCCTATGTATGTATGTATGTATGTATGTATGTATGTATGTATGTGTGTGTATGTATGTGTGGGTATAAGTGTGTGTATGTGTGCATGTGTGTGTGTGTGTGTGTGTGTATGTGTGCACACGCGCTTGTAACGTCTTGGAAAATGTTTTGATGTTTGTCATTGTCTTTTGAAGCACATGCATCATAGTTTTCTGTGAATCATTGCATCCTGAATCTGCATATGGCAGTTCATATATCTAAATGTATCTACATGCAAGAGTTTTCCATAGCTTGGCTTTCCTCTTTGTTTTTTGCTGAAGTTTTACTTTGTATGATGCTGCAGTACATCATGAAGAAGTTACTTGAGGATATGGTCTCAATATTCCTGACCCCTTACTTGCTCATCTTCTTGGTACCCAAGGTGTGCTTCCTTCCCATATGTTGCATTTATCTTTCGTCTAGTTCTCACATGTATCAGTCCTCTTTATTTATTTTAGTGCTTGATTACTTTCCATATATCAGTCACATTAAATCTGGAAGAGGGAAGTATAATCCTGAGGGCAATGAGAAAACCTTACGCCAATGGGTCATTTGTGGTATAATGAAATGGATGTTGTGCTAGGGAGAAAGAGGGACCCACTACAAGAAAACACCAATCCAATGGTGGGTCCGACTCCCCCTCTATCTTCCTTTACATTATGGATGGTTGTGAACCTATGGTCTATGGCTGTTCTGTATTCTTTAGGAGTACACTTTCCCTTATTTCAGATGCTCATCGATACTTACAGTTATATCACTATATGGACATTGGGAATTTTACATTAAAAAATAATGATAACGATTTCATGTACCTTGAGCTTTTGAGCTTTGGACTATTTCCTACATAACTAAGCTGAACAGATTTCTACATTGCTCTGCAGTGTGTAGATGATATCTTGAAGTTCATTTCAGACTTCACTGTGGATGTGGAAGGTGTCGGTCATGTTTGCAGGTTCTTGATTTGTTTTGCATGTGATTTTAGTGAGTGGTTTAGGTTTTCATGTTGAAACAATAGTAAATTATACTACAATCCAATGGACTTCAGAAAAATCGTAATGCATTGGGTCATCAATGTCGCCGATGGATGGAGAACGGGACCTCCTAAGAAGTGCATGAGCCCTGCGGTGGGTCTTGCTCTCGCTCCATCACCATCTGTCATTTCAATTGACAGAGTTAAACCATCGGAGTATGGTTTTTCCGTGGTTCATTGGACTGTCATACTCTTCTATCAACAGTGTCTTGCAAAGAGTTGGTTCATTTTTTGTATTGGCAGCTAAAACTCTTTTGGTATCCTAATGCAGCTTTACTCTGTTTGATTTCGAAAAACATGGAAATAGCAAGTATGGTTCACCTTTCCATGCTCCTCGGGAGTGGAGGAGCTCTCAAGGGAAAATGGAGAAATCGTTCTTAAGGTATGCCTGAGGATTTGAATAGGACACAAATCTTCCAGTCTACCAACTTTCATTTTAACCTCCCCAAAATCAGGTTAGGTTTACTCATTTATACGAACAAGTGAAACACATTTCATATTCAACTTCAGCCAAGAGACACCTAAGATGGAGACCCATAGGCCCTTGTATGATAATAAAGGAACCTTTGGACCTAAGTAGATATATTTCTATGAAACTTTGGAGGCGCACGGTAGGACCCAACTATACGCACTTTTAGGATAATAAAGGGTAAAGCAATGCCAGTGTCATTTATTCACCTTGTTAGTGCTTGTTGTGTGCTGTTTCCTCTTCCATTGCTTCGCTTGATTGTGTTTTTTTTGTTTTTGTTTTTTCATTGTCAGCTTCAAGAGTAGCTACCCTAGCTGGGTGCCAAGTCCGCAGGGTAACCAACTTCTATCTACTCTCGAGGATTTCAGGCATCAAATGATTGAGACCCAAATTCAAGCTTTGCATTTGTCTCTTCATGGTCGACCCTCAATCACATTCTCAAGAATCCATGGAGGAGTCCCCTGGGAGAGCAATCTCCGTAGGTGGGCGCTACCGATGTCAGGCTTACCTCTACCTATGGGTCACATGACTTCACCATGGATGATGGCTATAGATCAGAGGGATCACCATTGCCTTCTTGATTACTACTACAAGTCCAGGTCCACTTCCTCTTGTGCAATGAAAGAACCGAAATACACACCACCACCTGAAACTTCAGACCTTCCTAATGAAACAAGGTTACACATAGGGATGCCTTATGACCATATCCATCATGAAATGGGGCATAATGAGAAGTGGGGCTTTTCATCAGAGGATAGGGTTGAAAGTCACATGGCTGCTAGTACGAGCACTGCCTTCCGTGATAGCATGCTACGACAACAGGAGACCAGTCAGTTGGGGATTCATGGGGAGACCCCATGGTGGGCACGACCATGCCGGAAATATTCCGGGGCCGAAAATAGCTTCCTTGAGCCCCTGAGCTTTGTGGACCATGGTATAAGCACCCAATGCGATAACATATCAGTGAGGAGTGAGGATGAGGTGCAAAATGTGGGATCACCTCTTAGAAGACTGAGGGCTTATCCAGGTTTCAGGGCACATGATAGCTTTCTTGATCCCCCAAGCTTTACTGGTCGTGGTATAAGTAACCAATGTCATAATTTATCAGCAATGAGAGAAGAAGAGTTTCAAAATGTGGGATCACCTCCTAAAATGTCAAGGATTCAGACAGATGTGAGGGTACACAATTCCTTTCATGATTCTTCGAGCATTTTGGATATGAGTATGAGCATTTCACATAATGGCTTGTTGGGGAGGAGGGGGGAAGGGGTGGAAGATGGACAGTTGCGTTTTGGAAGCTCAAACGAGGTTGGAAGGGCTTACTATGCCCAAGATGAGAGAGAGAAATTTGCGAGATCACATCTCCCATATAACAATGTTTACAGGGATGCAGAATATGAGAGGGAGAGAGAGGACGGTCCTCACTCATTCAAGAATGTGTACGGGAGGTCACTTGATGAGAGAGAGAAAGATGGGGCATTCCATCTTCCATTCAATGATATTTATAGCAACCGCACTGAGGAAAGAGAAAGAAATGAGGGATTTCACCTTCCGTTCAAAGATGTTTACAGAAATCCATTGGACATCTCTGAGGTAAGAAGCAAAGATTCAATGGAGGATGGGTTATGCTGATGTGTACAGGCTATCTATTGTTGTCTTTCTTCCTTTTCAAGCTCTTCATTTATCAAGTCAGAATCATTTATCAAGTCATTGATGTTGATGGAGGATGGGAAATGGGCTGGTGTTTGCATCGCTCATGGATTCAAGGGAAGGTTTTAGTCCCTTGGTCCTGGGTCGAATGCACCGAGTGGGTACTGTGTCTGAATCCCAACTTCACTATTCTTTTGTACAGAAGTGTCAATGTGGAAGCCCATGATGAGTATTCTAAGTTCCTTGTAAATTCTTTTTCTTATGGTTTTTTCTGGTGGGTGGAAGAGATGGAATGATTATTACAAAGATACAATACAATGAGTCCTACGTAACTGTAAATACAATCATTCTTTGCCAATGGTATTCCCTTTACATGGCTCAAAATGGATTATATCACAAAATTGGGTGAAGTTATGAGCTTGGATTCTGGTTTAGTTTATGTCACCATAAATTTGCTCTCGTGGAGAGAAGAAAAAGGTGATGAGAAAAAAACTCATATGTTAGTAATTTAGGCTAATGCTCTAGACAATGGCTACCTCGATGGTTTTTGATATTGGTGTATAGATTTTGGTTGTATTAAGTCTTTCCCATATACATGCAGTTACGTAGTGTTTGGTGCGTCAGGTCGTGCATATATTATTATTTTAACCATGTTTCTTGCAGTTCAAAGCGGAAGCAGACGGTTTTCATAGCACTATGTTTCAAGTTCCATTCCAATATTACATTGTCAAAAAAATATGGATGGATGGTACAAATAGCACCTGAATCCACCCTTTGATTTTTGGGTGGAATTTGGACAATATAATTTAGATTGGATGGTGTGGAATGTGGAGCCTGCATCAGAGTTTTTTTTGGGTAAGTAGCCTGCATCAGAGTTACATCAAGATTGAGCTGATACATACACACACATTAACATTGCTAATTAAAGTGTGATTGTAGCCATCTTCACCGTCTATTGGTTGAGATCCATCTTCACCGTCTATTGGTTGAGATCCAGCAAATATGTCAAGGAGGGAAACGCGGGCCTTCAATACCTTTAATTACTTCTCTTCTTTAAAGCTTTCCACTTTTCAGTCTAATTTTCTTAGAATCTGCACCTTTTAAAACTCTCGAACTTCTTTCTCTAATGGAGGGTCCTCTCTCCTTCTCTCTCTCTAAGTGTAGATTTTGAAATTTACCAAATGAATGGTCTAGATTTATTTTTGGAGGGGATTCATTTTGATCACATCTATGGTTTCAAATCGATTATTTTTTTTTGAAATTGATTATTGAGATAAAGAGAGTGTGTGTAAAATGTTGGATCAAAAAAATACCACAAATATGGTTTTTTAGAAGTGTGGTTGCATTATACTAGGATTTAACCATTGCAATAGACCACTGCCTTTTAATAAAGGGTGCAGTTTGTATAGAGCTTAGGCTCTAAACAATCAAATTAGAGCCTACCTTCAAATAGTGTTGAGAAATATGGTTTCAAAACTGAAAATCTTTTTGATAGCCTTAAAATACATTTTCATTTTTATTTATAAAGTTTAAAGTTTTAAAAATAGTGTAGATTGAGAGATCAATGAAAACTTGAAAATCTTGAAAATTGACGTCCAAAAGTGCGTTACAAAATACACTACTTTAAAAAATTGAAATCCATTTTTTTCTCATGTCCATGCATCTTGATGTAAAGATGATGAATTTGAGGATATTTGGATATCAAAACAATCTCTTCTATGAAATTTTTGAGATAGGCTCGAATTTGATTTTTTAAAACCTCGGCTCTATATAAACTTTTCCCTTTAATAAAATCAAATCCACATTAGTACATGGAGAGTTTTTTTGGGTGATTAAGTGGGGAGAGGGGCCATACCCTTTGTAGAGTTTTTTTGGGTGATTAAGTGGGGAGAGGGGCCATACCCTTTGTAGGAATTGAGCTTAGGACGTAGCTTTGCAATTGTCAAGCGCTAATGAATTAAGCTCGGCTCTTTTCCTTATTTACATGGAGAGATGTATCCCTTTTGAACAAAATACCAAACTTTAGAAAAGAATTTTTCAAATGACAATTTAAGGATGGGTGAAGTTTGTACAAGGTGCTCACCTTATACTCTACAAGTATGCGTACTTTTAAATTTTGTTAGAAGATAGTAGTTCCAGTTTCGAAAACTTACGATGGCTTGCAAATCCATGTTCAACCCTAATTATGTAATTTATTTATTTTTTAAAATAACATATATCGAGTAGATCTATAAATACTAGAAAATCTTGAAAACTTACAACCTAGATAACTTGTTACAAGATGCAATATCGTTAGAACTTGAAATTCGTTTATTTATTTATATATTTATATATCTTGATGTCGAGATGATCAATTGAAAAAGGTTTTTCAACCTTTGAACATTTTTTCTATTAGATTTTTAAGATTCGGCATACTTCTATAGTAGAAGGATACAACCTTGAATGAACTTTTTCCATTTTCTTAGTATATGGAAAAAAATGCATCACAAGATGCACTATTTCCAAAACTTGAAATATATATTTTTCTCATGTTCATGCATCCTGATGTCGAGATGATCAATTTGAGGATATTTAGACATAAAACAACCTTTTCTAATGAAATTTTTGAGGTGGGCTCTAATTCGATTGTTTAGAGCCTCGGTTCTATGTAAACTTTTTCGTTCGATAATTTCTCTTAGGATAAGAATGGGGTTGGGGTCGTGATGATAGCACCATTTGTATTCCAGTTAAAGTCTAGGCTTCCATTCTCACCTATCGCATTAAAAAACCACTAACGATTTAAAGAATGGGTAGGGGCTCGTCATCCCCATAAAATTAACCAAAAATATTTTCTCTTATGATAAAGTTTCTATAATGCCAAGGGTTCATGAAAAAATAAAAAAGAGCACGCTTTTGTTTTGTCCCATTTGATCGGGACTATCTCCTTTCTTCAAGGCTCTTCTAGGGGGGTGTCTCGCATTTTGAACTTGCTTGCCATGCCTAAAATCTCCACTGCTCACCTCAAATTGTCATCGGAAAATTGTCATCGGAAAAACATTTTCAGCACCACGGATCTCTATGATACCCCTAAAATCAATTTTCAATGTCAACAATAAATTTTGAAACTCAAAAAAGGGTATAAATCTTGAGGATCTATAAATACTTATTTTTAAGACGAAATAAATGATCTAGATAATTTATTACAATATACTCATAATTTCAAATCCTAATTCCTTTGTGACAACCTTAATGTTCAAGCCAAGATGACCGATTTAAAGTTTTTGCGGTATTTAAATTGCAACTTTCGATGACTCATAAGGTGAGGGTTTACTTATTTTTTGTTTTTTTTTTTTTATAGGGTGGGAGCGGGGTGGCTTCGTGGGTAAAGTAGTCATTAAATAACTGACAGGGTCATTTTTGTACATTTCCTTAAACGTGATTTTTCTTGCACACCAACGGGGTTTATCGAGGGTTTCTCTGCAACCCCCTCTTCAGCACAAAGCCATGAGAAAAGCTTCCCTAATATTATCACCTCTCAGAAACTCCATTAATCCTCTCTCAGATAAGGCTATCTCTCACTTCAAAGCCCTAATTTTTGCCCACCATTTTCATTCTGACTTCTCTCTTGGCCACCTCGAAAGAGATCCAGCTTCAGAGCCTCACCTCAAGCCCTGTAAAAATCACCATGGATTGCTCTATAACAAGGGATACAAGCAGTTTCAGAGAAGCCCATGTAGGAATATGGATACTATTGCTTCCAAAGCGCCCTCCATTTCTTCTAGACAGAGAAAGATCAAAGAAAAGGAGGTCCTGGAAGAAGAATTTGAGGCTGCAACCTCAACTGATGAAATTCTCAGAGCTTTTGAAGCCATGGAATCTGCGTTTGATGAGAAAGATAAGCGTCTAGGCCTTTCTTGCTTGAAAGTTGGGCAACACCTTGATTCCGTAGGTGAGGACCCTGAAACCACTTTGAATTATGCAACAAGAGCTCTGGAGATCTTGGAATTTGATGGTAAGGACTCTTTACTCGTTGCGATGGCTCTGCATCTTTTGGGCTCGGTGAACTATGCCTTAAAGAGGTTTAATGATAGCTTGGGGTACTTAAATAGAGCGAATCGAATATTGCAGGAGCTTGAATTGGAGAGTTGTGACTTTGATATCAAACCAGTGAGCCATGCTGTTCAGCTTTTGTTGGGTAATGTGAAAACAGCAATGGGTCGTCGTGAAGAAGCTCTGGTTAATCTCTGCAACTCTTTGAGGATCAAAGAATCAATTTTTGAACCGAACAGTCGAGAATTGGGTGTGGCTAATAGGGAAGTTGCAGAGGCTTATGCTGCAGTTTTGAGATTCAAAGAAGCTCTTCCTCTTTGTTTAAAGGCTCTTGAAATACACAACGAATTGCTAGGCCAAAACTCAGTTGAAGTAGCCCATGATCGAAGGCTTCTTGGTGTTATTTATTGTGGTTTAGAGGAACACCAAAAGGCATTGGAGCAAAATGAAATGGCACAAAGGGTTTTGAAGAATTGGGGTCTCTCTTCTGATGTTGTTGAGGCTGAGATTGATGCTGCAAATATCCAAATTGCCCTTGGGAAACATGAGCAGGCCATAGCCACTCTTCGGGGTTTGGTTCAACAAACGAAGAAGGAGAGTGGGACTCGAGCTATGGTCTTCATAGCTATGGCAAAAGCTCTTTGCCACCAAGAAAAATTTGCTGATTCAAAGAGGTGTTGCGAGATTGCCTCTGGGATACTCGAGAAGAAAGAAATAGAACAACCCACAAAAATTGCAGAGGCCTACACTGAGATTGCCATGTTATATGAGACAATGAATGAGTTTGAGACTGCAATTTCTCTTTTGAAAAGGGCTCTTGCTATATGCGAGAAGATTCCTCAAGAACAACACTCGGAGGCGAGCACATCGGGGAGAATTGGGTGGCTTCTTCTTTTGACTGGGAAAGTGCAACAAGCAATTCCTTACCTGGAGAGTGCGGCCGAGAGGTTGAAAGAGAGTTTTGGGCCAAAGCATTTCGGTGTTGGGTATATATATAACAATTTAGGGGCTGCATATCTAGAGCTCGAGAGGCCGCATTCAGCTGCTCAGATGTTTGCTCTTGCAAAAGATGTTATGGATATTGCCCTTGGGCCTCACCATGTTGATTCTATCGAAACTTGTCAGAATCTTGCAAACGCATATTGTGCTATGGGAAGGTAAGGCTGCTTTACCATGGGCTATTTTTCTTGCTTTGCTTTTGACCATGGCTATTTGCTTTGCTCGTAGTTGTTCCTTGTTTGATTTGGCTGGTCTTCAATTAGCTTTATTTGGACATTTTGTATTCAAATTTGATTGAACTTTCATTTTATTCCTTTCAGATTATTCTCAAGAGAAAAGTGGTATATAAAAAGAACTGTGAAATTACATGTTTTTAATTGCGTGAAGGCTCTATAACCTGCCTTTTTTCTTCCAATCCTTGATTACCATGGGATGTGTTATCATGTAGTTAATGATTTTATGTTTTTTGCATCTTACAGCTTGTCTTGAGCTTTTACCACATTTGTTTGTTCTTTGCTTCCCGATGGTTATCATGATTGATAACTATAGACTTAATTTTCATAATCTCCTACTTGGTGGCGTCGCTTTCTTTATTATCATATTGACCATCTACATGATATATTTTGTGAAGGATTTCATAGTTTTATCTGATTATTATTGTCATTATTATTTGGATTAAGGTTTCATTTGTGGTTCCAGTAATATATCAGGTAGGCATATTCATTATTGGTAATGATGGTTCTGAGATGGTTGTTGAATACAGCATCCTCACCACGAGTTTTAGATGAAAAATCTTACTGCCTTTGATTATTTTATGGGCTTTGTATTAATAAGAGGAAAACAGCAGCTAGACGACCTTTGGTTTTTTCTAAGATGTTATGAGCATGCCTCTGGCATTAGAATAAGCATGAAGGAAACTTTAATGAGGCAGAATTGAACCTCTTGGCCCAAGAAATTGGATGTGGTACAGAGTCACATCCTGTACCTATGTTTCCATTTATGCATTGGTAGACCATGTAAGGCTTCAAGGGACAAGGTCATAGAACAATTGAAATACAAAACTTGCCACTTGGAAGAGCACTTCCTAATCTTTGGGAAGATAGATTACTTTGATCTAGACAGCCCTATCCAACCTCCCAGCCTACAGTTTGCCACTTTTCAAATTCCAATGTCTGTCGTTCATAAGATTGATGGCATTCAAGGAGAGTTCCTATGGAGAGGCTCCTCCAAAGAATACAAAGTCCCCTATGTGTTACGGGAGCAAATTTCTAGATTTTAAAAAGGAGGACAGCTTGGGCATAAGATGACTACAAGACTTTGAGTCATCTCTACATGAGAAGTGGGTGTGGCGATTCAAACTAAGGGAAGAACTGTTTCAGGAGACAATCATCACACATAAATATAGGTCACGCAAATAGAGATGCAGAGTGAAGAAAAAATCAGCCCCTAATTGAGCCTCAGGTGCATGGAGGATGGAGGATAATGAAATTATCTATTCATTGTATCGGTGCTTGAAATCCAGGAATTGGGCTTGGACTCTCCAGCGTTCTGTGCCCAAGTCACCTGGCTGGTTTATTCATCCGAGTTGGAATACAACTTGGCTGATTTTGTGAAAAAATAACAAAGCCAGGTGAGGCTTGGGATGAGTGATTGGCTTTTGCGTTTGGACCTGCCAGGATCCCAATCTTAGCTGACTTTGGCAATTCCAGCTTGACAATGTTTTGGTCATTGCTTTGTATGATAAATTTAATAACAAGACTATGCTTAATTTGGGTCACTGCAAAAGTAGAAACTTTTGGAGAAATCCTTCAATGGGACATAATACTTTTTTTTTTGAGTGTGTTAACATTGTATTTAAGAAGATAGAATTAGAGAAGTTGTAAGTTTAAAGAAGCAACCCTCATATGGTTGATTTTCATGCCCCAAAAGGATTGATTTCCAGGCCCCAGAAGAGTTATTATGGGCTTTGGGACCCAGGATGGGTCCGGAGCACTGTATTTGGAGTTGATGACATCCTACCATAGATGGTTTCTTTGGGTGGCCAGATGCCACCACCATTTCCCGAGACGGGCAAGGTGGTTATGCTTGAGTTTGCAGATCCCGAACCCTAAGACTTGGGGGAGCAAACCTTAGACTAGGAAATCAGGTGGATTTTCTTGTCCCCGGTTCCCAACCAAAGGAAATTTTTCATGAGTTGTTCAAGACCTCGCACCACAGAGGCCGACATGTGAAATAGAGACATTTGGTATATCAGTATATTCAAAAGGGTGGCTTTGATGAGAGTAGTGCGCCTTGGCGAGGAAAGGAATCTGCCCTTCCGGCTTGCGAATCTTTGATGAGACATAATCAGTGTTTCAAAAAGCGCTAGGCTGTCGGGGGGATCCAGGCCGCCCAGTAGAAATTTTTGTTTTTTGCGTTTTCTCTCTTTAAAATAGCCTCTAATGAGTTTTAGGTTTTAAATGAACCTAAAACCCACAATTTTTCCCCTTTAGTATTACAAAAATAACTAAAAAATGCGTTCAAGGAGTTGTATTTCCGCCCCTGGGTGGGGTGTAGGCCTTGGGCAGCCTCCTAGGCAGGTGGGCGCGCAATGATATTGGCCTAGGCGGGTGCCCAGGCACTGGGCGGTTTGCTTTTTGAAATAGTGGACATAATAGTTAAGGAAGTAGATTCCCAAACTAGGATCATTGTTGATCAGGGAGCCTGGTGGTAAATCTGATGAAGTTGATGGGAGGTCAAATGGTATGGTGCATTTTTGACATCACCAAGAAGACGAGATATAAGACCCATGCACACTGCTGAATGAATTATAATCAACTCATCTCTTGAAAAATAGGGGAGGAGTTAATTTGTGGCCAACAAGCAGCCGTGAGTTTTCTGTCAAGTCCTTCTACATGGGCCTAATTGAGGAAAATGGATGAATTCCTTGAGGACACAAAGCTGGAGGTTGGCTGTTCCTCCTATGGCCCTATCTTCGTGTGGCTTGCGATCCTTGATAAGGTATCGCTGTAGATCACTTGCAACTCCAAGGAGAATGTTCACCACTTGGTCCTGCTACTCCTGCATGTAGAATGGCTTTAGATATATTCTATTCCTTCCTGAATTTATTTTGGTTCCCTTGGATATGCTATCATCAGTGGAGAATCTAGTCTAACACTAGTTCTTGCAACCATCCTGCCTAAAGTTTTACTATTATAGAGATTAAGCATTGCTGCAATACTATGTTCCCTGTGAACTGTGTGAAACAAACACAAGTCCCAAGGCAAATATATGGAACAGCCAGTCATCACAGAGCTATAAAGGCAACGATCATATCCAAGAAAGAATTCTGGGGTTCTTGGCCTTGGATCTGTAAACACAGTGAAAAAATATTGGAAGGAGTTCATTACCAATATGCACTTGACCTTCCAATTGGCAACCACAATCGGAAGGTAGTATCAAGATCTTCTATGGGTAGGGTTCAAGCGGTAGCGTTTTTTCAATCATCTAGGTGAACTCATCTCCGCTTATTTGGGACCAGCTGGAGCCTGTGATTTTGGAAAGGAAAGTGTGCATTTAAGGATGTAGAATTTAATGATTGGTAGAATTTCTTTCCCTTAATAAATTCCACCTACGGTAGGTGGGTAAGGACCATGGTTGAGGGAGTGTGACCTAGGAGCATGTAGGAGAATAGGTTGGCAACTACGGGGTAAGTGATCCTGAGGATCACTATTAAGGGGCTCCGGAGCACGAAAATTTACCCATTTGTTTCTCTGGACCACAGACCATCCATCGTGGTCTGGTTTTGGGCATTCTTGCCGTATCTAGCCCTGGACAGAGATTGAGATATTGTAAGAGTACCAGTTTATCATTGTGAATTTCTATTGGATAGTGGTTTTGAAGGAAATTATTTCTTAATATAAAATCACCATGCATAAATGGAAAACACAAAATTTTCGGAATGGAAAATTTTTTATTTCTCAACCAAATTGATCGATTTTTTGCTTTATACTCAATTTGAGTATTATTACAGATTTAAATCAAGAATCTAAAACGCTTCTTTCACTGTTAAATAGTGCATCGGACTCGAAAAATCCATATGAACCTAGAAAAAAGTTATTCTATGGAACTAAGTTATTAACCCTAGAAGAAGATGAATCAAAAAACTTTGAAGCTATCAAAGAAATCATAGAATACTGGAAATCAAGATACATAAAGGAAAAAGACATTGAAAAAAGAAACAATCTTATTTCAAACATACAAAGGTAATTTTCAAAACATGAAGAACTCATGTTAAGAAATAACTATTATCTAATAGTCATTTGGATATCTTAATAAACAAAAGATTGATAATTTCGAAAAATTGATACATGAATTAATAGTTTCGAAAACTATAGACTTTGATTTGCTATCAAGTCTGATAATTTACCTGTGTTTTTGAAATTTAGATCTATTTTCGAGTATATGGTTTTTCCATACCTCATTCAACAAATTATATATATCATTACGGATATTGGGGTTTTTGTAAAAACTGGATACCTGCTTGGTATCTACTGGAAGAGAAAGTGGAATTTAGCACACTTTCTTAAGAACATTAAAAAATGCACACTTTCTTTTTTAGTTATATGGTTGGTGTATTTTTCAAATTTATCCTTTTTTTGTAGTTTATACAGAAGTCATGGGTTAGGCTAAATTCCACTTTCTCTTCTAGTAGATACCAAGCAAGTATCCAGTTTTTACAAAAACCCCAATATCCCTAATGATATATATAATGAATTGAACGAGGTATGGCAAAACCATATACTCGAAAATAGATCTAAATTTCGAAAGCACATAGGAAAATTATTAGATTTGATAGCAAATCAAAGTCTAGAGTTTTTGAAACTATTAATTCATGTATCAATTTTTTGAAATTATCAATCTTTTGTTTATTAAGATACCCAAATGACTATTAGATGATAATTATTTCTAAACATGAGTTCTTCATGTTCTGAAAATTACCTTTGTATGTTTGAAATAAGATTGTTCCTTTTTTCAATGTCTTTTTCCTTTATGTATCTTGATTTCCAATATTCTATGATTTCTTTGATAGCTTCAAAGGTTTTTGATTCATCTTCTTCTAGAGTTAATAACTTAGTTCCATAGAATAACCTTTTTCTAGGTTTATATGGATTTTTCG